TGACCTCCCTGAATGCTATTGCAAAAAGGAGAGAAATAGACACAACCCTCAGGTACAGTAAGGACCAAAGGAAGGCTTCTGAAAACACCTAGAAGCCCAGCTAGGTGTCTGTAGATGCAATTGAGAAGACATCCAAGCTCAGGGGACTCTTGCTTAATGGCAGGCCGAAGGTTTTCACATCAGAGGTGAAAGCTAAAGAATTCCAAATGTCAGATGGTCAAATATCCAGGAGGCCATGACTTAGTAGGGTTTTGTTGTTGTTATTATTGTTGTTTTTTGAGACAGGGCTTCTCTGTGTAACCTTGGTTATCCTGGACTCACTCTGTAGACCAGGCTGACCTAAAACTCACAGAGATCTGCTTGCCTCTACCTCTCCAGCACTGGGATTAAAGCCATACACCACCATGCAGAGCGGTAGGATTTTTTTTTATTTTTTATTTTATTTTATTTTATTTTTGGCTTTTCGAAACAAGGTTTCTCTGTGTAGCCCTGGCTGTCCTGGAACTCACTCGATAGACCAGGCTGGCCTCAAACTCAGAAATCCGCCTGCCTCTGCCTCCCAAGTGCTGGGATTAAAGGCGTGCGCCACCACCGCCCGACGGTAGGATTTTTTTTAAACATAGAATTTATGAAGAAAAAGTAAGAAAGAACTCCCAGAGAGAGTTAGGAACTCCATGGGAGGAACAACCAGGGTTCTTTCTTTGTTATAGAGACAGGGTCCCACTCACGGCTATCCTTCAGCCTCAGCCACCCCAGGACTGGGATTACAGGTGTGCACCACTGGGTCTTCCTGTAGGATTCTCTGCTAATACTGGACAGGGCAGGGTAGAGCCAAGGGCTAAGCTGAACTGAACATACAAGGACCCTGGTCAAGTCTGGTCAAAGAGAGACTATTCATGAGACACATCCATTTGTCTTGTATTTGCACTTCTCTCTGCTGCTTACTTTTTTATTCCTTTCTTTGCTTTTGCATTAAAAGATTTCTTGTTATTGTGCGAGTGAGTGTATGTGTAGAGATCAGAGAACAACTGAACAGAGCCAGTTCTCTCCTGCACCTCTTGGGGCCCAAGACAGCTCAGCCGCAGCCAGTAGATGGCAGCATCTCACAGTACGAGGCCTGGCGAGGCTGGTGCTGAGGAAGTCCTCAGGGTGATATCTACTGTGACAGGAATGGGAGGACACGTGTTCTGAGTGGGCCCAGCCAGATGGACAGGCTACAAAAGGGAGATCCTGGGATTGTCCTCATTGACCACGTGACCTGACGTGGGCTCAAGGCCAGCAGCAGGGCCTTACTTAGGAGCTGACTTGGCCTGTAGATTCTTGACCCAATCCTCCCACCTCCAGCCAGAAAACTGAGTCAGAGTCTATGGACAGGGCCACCAGTCTGTTTGACAAGTCCCTGGGTGATTCAGATGTGTGTGGAGGTTTTAGAGATACCCTTTCTCTCCAACTTCCTCATTCCAGGAATGGGGAAATTGAGACCAAATGAAGGAAGTGACTTACCACACCAGAGAAAACTCAGGAGGTGGGAGTGGACTGGGAGAGCAGTTAAGAGAGCTTGCAGCTCTTCAGAGGACCTAGGTTGGGTTTCCAGCACCCACACAGCAGCCCACAGCACCTGTAACTCCAGTTCCAGAGATTCAGTGCCCTCTTCTGCTGGCCTCCTCAAGTACTACACACACACACACACACACACACACACACACGCACACACACAGCTGGAGAGATGACTTAGCGGTTAAAAGGTTAAGAGCACTGGCTGATCTTCCAGAGGTCCCAAGTTCAATTCCCAGCACCCTCTAGGTCTACCTTGAGTTTTGCTGCAAGGTCTCTCACTGAAACCCAGGATTCACCCACTAGGCTAGGCTGGCTGTCTCTACCTACCCAGTGTTGTTGGATAGCTCACTCTGTCTAACTTCTGTTCCAAGAGATCTGACACCCTCACCCAGACATACATACAAGCAAAACACCAATGTATATGAAAACACAAATAAATAAATTATTAAAAACAACAAACACGGGGCTGGAGAGATGGCTCAGCGGTTAAGAGCACTGACTGCTCTTCCAGAGGTCCTGAGTTCAAATCCCAGCAACCACATGGTGGCTCATAACCATCCGTAATGAGATTGGATGCCCTCTTCTGGTGTGTCCGAAGACAGCTACAGTGTACTCATAAATAAAATAAATAAATAAATCTTAAAAAAAAAACACATCAATAATAAAATACATCTTTTTAAAAAGAGAGAAAACTCAATTCTGAGTATTCCTTTTCCCTAGTTCTGGTAATGCTTCCTTGTTTTCCTTCCTTCCTTTCTTCCTTCCTTCCTTCCTTCCATCCCTCCCTCCCTCCCTTCCTCCCTTATGTGTGCCTGCCTTTAGCCACCATCATGAACCCTGAGCTGCAGACAGAGCCAGGTGTTGGGGGACATGCCATTTCTTTTCGCTCTGGGGGCTTCCTCAGGGCCAGATGCCTAGGAGTCAGAATTTCCCAGCATTAGCTAGCTCTCCCCCAGTTTGCCTCTGCTGTCTACAGTTACGTTTATGATTCTACACAGGTCAAGCACAGGCTGCAGGAGGGCCACACACCTCACCTGTGGGGTCTTTGTCTTCATTTTGGAGGACCTGAACTCTTTCCCCATGTCTCAATGGCAATTCCTTGTTTTTGGAAGAGAAGCAAGAGCACCTGGCACTCCCACAAAGGGTCTCCTTATCAAGGCAGCCCCTCCCTACAGCAGTGGGTTTGCCCCCAACACGTCAGATCCGGGACAAGAGCAGGGTCCTCCCCTCCACCCATTGTGTAATGCTTAGCTGCATTAGCTGCATTCTTGGTGTCTACCCACTAGATGTCAGGAAAACACCTCCTGCTGGTGTGTCAACCAAAACCATACCTTCTCACCTCCCACCCCTGGTCCCCCAACAACTCCCCTCCCCCCATAGGGCTGTCTCATAAATCACCTAAATCACACCTCAATAACTGTTCACTGTAACTAAAAAGTTTGTCCCAGGCCTAGAGATGGAAGCTAGGGGCACACCTGCTGGGCAACTACTCTACCGTGGAGTTACATCCCTGGCCCTGAGTAACTCTTACTACATGCATCTCTCAAACACTTCTGCTATATTCTCACATGCTAGATTTGGTGACTTTACCCACAGACAAAAATCTCCCTCCTGAAGAAGCCCTGACCATCCCTCCTATAGAGAAGATCTCATGTGGGGTCATAGACCAGACAGATAAGAATGCTATCATACTCAATTTCTTACCTGTAGGGCCCAGAAGATTCCACTTAAACATTTTATCTGATGATGGCTGTAAAAATGTATCAGGAAGATACAATCCCAGAGTAGCTTCTAGAACCGGACATTAGGAACACATTGGCAGGGGCTGGGATGAGATCAGTCTGCCAAGTGTAACTGTAAACTCTGTAAACATGGGGCCCTGAGATTAACCCCTGGAACCCAGATTTAAAAGGGGCGAGGAGGATGGAAAGTTGACTCAGTGGTTAAAGGCAATGGCTGTTCTTCCTCAGGACCCAAGTTCAATTCCCAGCACCCACATGGCTGCTCGAAATTAACTGAAACTCCAGTCCCAGGAGATCCGAAGCCTTCTTCTGACCTTTGAGGGCACCAGGTACACATGTGGTATGCAGACATACATGTGGGCAAAACACTCACTCATACACACAGATGCACACACACACGCACATGCACACATCCACACATGCATGCATACACATACACACAAGTGCACACATCCATACACACACTCGCACACTCACATGCACACATGTGCATACACAGGCACATGTACACACGCATGTACATACATACCAGGCATGGTGAGGAATACTATAATCCCAACACTGGGTAGGTGGAGACAGCTAGCCTAGCCTAGTGGGTGAATCCTGGGTTTCAGTGAGAGACCTTGTAGCAAAACTCAAGGTGGATCTAGGAAGGTATAAGCTGGTCTACCACTGAACCAGCAACCAGCCCTCTCTACGGTTCTTGCTATGTCTTATTAGCAAGCTCCTCAGTTAGAGGTAATGCTCTGCGGAATGGTGTCTTAGTTAGGGTTTCATTGCTGTGAAGAGACACCATGACCAAGGCAACTCTTATAGCCAAGCATATTCAAACCACCACAAATGGCAAATAAGCCTAGCTTCAGGTACCTGCTTGGGTCCCTGCCCTGATATCTCTCTCAATGAGAAATCGTTACCTGTAAGCTGAAATAAACTCACATGCACACACGCACACATGCACACACATACACACACATACACACACGTGCTTTTGTTGTTGTTCTGTTTTATACTTTTTTTTTTTTTTTTTTTTTGGTTTTTCAAGACAGGGTTTCTCTGTGTAGCCCCGGCTGTCCTGGAACTCACTCTGTAGACCAGGCTGGCCTCGAACTCAGAAATCCGCCTGCCTCTGCCTCCCAAGTGCTGGGATTAAAGGCGTGCGCCACCACCGCCCGGCTGTTTTATACTTTTTGAGGCAAGGTCTCTATATGTAGCCCTGGGTGTCCTAGAACTTTTAAAAGAGTTATTTATTTTCTCTAAATGAATACACTGTAGCTGTCTTCAGACACACCAGAAGAGGGCATCCAATCTCACTATGGATGGCTGTGAGCCACCATGTGGTTGCTGGGAATTGAACTCAGGACATCTGGAAGAGCAGCTAGTGCTCTTAACCACTGAGTCATCTCTCCAGTCCCATCCTAGAAGTTGCTATGTAGACCAAGCTGGCCTTGAACTGCTTCTGCCTCTGGACTACTGGAACTAAAGGTGAGTGCCATCATGCCCAGCTTCTGAACTTGCTTTTGTCACAGCCACAGAAGGAACCAGAAGAAGCTACCAGTGCTCATTCATGTCATCTGCCAACACCTGCATGCATTTGCATCTCAAAGCTCTGGGCTAGGGGGAGGAGACTCGAGAGGCACACGTGTAGCCTGGCATGTTGTCGTAGACAAAGGATGTAAACTTTACAGAGGTCAAGTGAGTTGCTAGACAGCATACACCCAAGCTGGATTAGAACCCAAGTTTCTGGAATCTAAGGCCTACGCCTATGCCCTCCCCTGGCCAGAGTTCCTAGGAAGAGAGAACTCAACCGCAGGGCAAGAACACTGTGGCACTGGGGACCCAGAGGGGAAGTGGTAACAGGGACGGAAGACCAGCTCTCCTCTCACTCACTCATCTGCGAAAGTGTAAAAGCAAGAAAAACCAGGCTGGAGTTGCAGCTCTCTGGACCTACATGGGGGTCCTAGCTGGGTCTCCAGATCTCAATACAAAATAGCCAGGACAGGCTCCACAAGACCCTGGGGCCCCGAGGTTGACAAATGACTGTGAGTATAACTTCCTTTGTTGTTTTACTTCAGACTCTTCATTCCAGAAAGCCTACGTTCTAACCTCAACTCTTTCCTGTTTCGCTAAGTAAGGGACAACTGTCTGAGGCAGGGGGATGGACGTCAGACTGGGAACATGGGTCACAGCGATGCTCAAGGCTGGTTCTCCTGAGACAGGATTTTCCTTGCCTTTCTCCACAGTAATAAAACCCAAAAACTTAGGTGGCTTTTTGGGGAGAGTCTATTTCTATTCATCCCTGAAACAGAAAGCCACTCTAGACCAAAGAAAATTTCCTTCCAGTCCAGCTTAGTGAGTGGGATGAGTTTATTGCTGTGGTCTGTAGGAACATAGGTGGTTTGGGCAACTGCACCATCAAAAAGCCCACCTCAGCATGGTGACAACTGCCCAAAGCTGGCGATATCACTGATGTCCCCATTAGTTGAAGGTCCACCTCCTAAGACTCTAAGCAGCGGACAGGACATGTGCAGGGGTGAAGCAGGAAGGAGGGAGTGGTTGGAATGTCAGGTCTAACGACCTCACACACGGGGATTAGTACAGGCCTGGTCTTTTGAAGGCCTCCTGTAGATGACTGAAGCTGTCATAAAGAAAGGGGCCACACAAGCCCAGGGAACAGAATTCCACGACACACAGGTCTTCTCTGCTGGTTGGGCTCTGCTCCAAGGCCCTTTCAAGGTTTCCTTTATTAGATGCTCACAACTCAACATCTGTGGTAAATGCTACCATATCACATACTCGGCAGAGGGAGGCTGCGTGCCACTCCTCTGAAGTCCCAGGGGCATCTCTTGAGAACATTGGCTTGAGAACAAGCATTCTGGCTTCCTGGCTTACTCTACAGGACCATCCATAGCAGGCAGTGGTTTGAGAAGGACCCCAGAAGACTGAGGTCTTGGGACTCACCTGGGCCATCTGAAGCCTTGTTTTATAGAAGAAGAAGAAAAAAAAAATGAGGCGCCATGAAATAATTGGCTGTAGCCAGGCGGTGGTGGCACACGCCTCTAATCCCAACACTTGGGAGGCAGAGGCAGGCAGATTTCTGAGTTCGAGGCCAGCCTGGTCTACAGAGTGAGTTCCAGGACAGCCAGGGCTACACAGAGAAACTCTCTCTCAAAAAAACAAAACAAAAAAACAACAACAAAACAAAAAAAATGATTGGCTGTCAGATACAATGGGAGGCGCTGGATCTGTGAGGCCAGGGCTCTGCTTCCTTGGAGGTCACACTCACTGAGGGAAGACAGATGTTGAGGTGAGAGTGCAGGGGCAGAGGGTCCTGTTCAATCCTAACTCTTAACACTCTAGGGCTTTGTGCAAATAACTCCACGTCTCTGGCCTTCAGCTTTTCCTTCTGGGCAGTGCAGGTCCGAGAATGCCACCCTCAGGCTTGTGGTAAGGGCTCAGCCAGGCGACACTGGTTAGGAAGAGACAGCTGCACTGGGCTCAGTGAATAGCTTTGATGGAGAATTTGGCCTTGTCCACTCTGCCCCCGCTGTGGGTTAGAAATGAGAAAAGGAGGTATCAACTCCTTCCCTAGGATAGGAATCTGCCTCAGGGGAGATGCACCATGGTCACGAAAGCCAGGACTGGACAGAAGAATGGCTAATGACAGATTCAGGAAGTCTGGGAATGCCCCATTTCTGCAGTTGCTTGTGGCTCAGGGGAGCTTGCTCCCTAATCTGTGTGGCCCTATGCGGTTCTCCACCTGTGAAGCCACCCTTCCCCTTTCCTCAGTTAAACTGCCAAATGGCTGCCTCTTCATCTAAGTTGATCTCCACGTTGTTTCTTGAGACAGTTTCTCACTAAACCCGAAGTTCACTCCGTCAGCTGATCCGGCTGGCCAGTGAGTCCCAGGATCCTCCTGGCTCCCTTCGTTGTGCTGGGATTACAGGAACACATCCATGCCAACTTTTTTCCTGTAGGTTCTGGGGACTCTAAAGAAGGTCCATGCTTGCCCAGCAAGCTTTTTTTTAAAGGCTGAGCCATGTCTTCAACCTTTCTGCTCCTGTTACTCTTACTGTGTGTTCTAAGGGTGCCTGAACCTTGTGCTGATTCTGGTGCAATCACACACAATAGAAGTCTGAGCCTTGTACTGCCAGGTCAGTAGGCACAGTCTCACAGGTCACATACGGAGCTTCGTTGATACTCTGGCACCAACAAAAGATGCGTTCGCTCCTCATGCTGGTGATTCCCTGCCAGGTTCGGCTTCACCATTTTCCTAGAGTAGCTGTAGTCCCAGATTCTTTGTCAAGACTTAAAATCTCTATCTTTAATGTTTGACTTTTAGCAATCTCCTCTGGGGAGCCTCTTCTCCCAAACTCTCCAGGGATCAGAGCTCATCCAGCTCCCCAGATACTTGAGGGGCCCCTGTCCTGGGATCTCTTTCTAGTCCAAGGCTCTCTCCCTGTGACTTCAGCTAGCAGAAGCTTTTTTTTGCTCCCACCCACCCAGGTACCAGCTCCATCTCCCTGGGCTGGATTGTCTTGAAGGTCTAGAAGAGGTATTTTTCAAACAGCTTCTGCTTATGATTGTGAAACGCCTCTAAGGCAGGAGAGACAGAAGGCTGTCTGCAGAGAGATGGACAGCGTTATTGGACAGCTAAGGAGGGCAAGGGCCAACAGTAGTGCAGACTTGCACAATGTTGTTTGGTCAAGACAGTGGGGAGTGGCGGGCGGGAGTGGAAGGCGCTAGTCTTGTGACAGATCCAAGCCAGCCTCCCTGGCTAGCTAGGTGACCTAGTATGATTCTCATCACGTCCTGAACCTGTGTGTCTTCTGCTCCACCAATGCAGCCCGTGGTTACCAGCCTGCCTCACACACATGACTGTCCGTGCCTTAAACCCATCAGTGACACTTATGCCAGACTGTACAGTTCACTGGCTCCCTTTGTGTGCCCTTCATAGTGGCTCGTGATCACTCACAATGGAAAGGTGGAAACCTGAGGCCCACTGGGACTTAAAAGCCACCTGAGCTAGTGGGCAAAGCTATTGCTCAAACCAAGATCCCTTAGGTTCTAGCCCAGAGACAGAGGAAACAGGCATGGTGTCATAGGCCTGTGATCCCAGCACCTCCAGAGGACAAGCCAGGAAGAACAGAAGTCCAAGATCATCTTGATCTGCATAGAGATCTCAAGGCTAATCAAGGCCACTTGTGAAAGAGATTATTATCTCAACGAAAACTAGCATGCCAATCTTAGCTAAGTTCTACTTTGTGGTGAGAGTAAACAGCTGGACAGTGGTAGAGCATCCCTCATAAGTGTGAAGATCCAGTCCAGGTCACTGATGTCATCATAACTGTCCCTTGTAGAATAGGTTTTTGATGCCACAGTGTGTGCAGCCTGAGAGCCCAGCCACAAGGGGATGGAAGTATACTGTGCTTTGGGCCCTGAGGGTCCAACCACAAACCCGGAAGTTTCCTCATCCCACGGCCCTCTCCACAGAACTTCCCTCCCTGGGCTGTCACTGTGACTGTCACTAGCATTGTCTTGTGCCACAATGTCCTATGGGGACATTTTTCCCCATCCCAAGACACAAACGAGGGAGCTGAGGGCTAGAGTTTAATTGCTTAGCCAAGGCCAAAGCAGAAGCCCCAGCAAAAGCAGGGCACTTGGTGCTTGCTTCCTTGGGAGTCCCTTCCTGTACCCCCGACAGAGCCTCAGAGAGGAGGAAATTGTTCTTTCTTCCATCTCCCAGGGAGAGGAAAGGCCCGCTGTGATGGTTAGTTATGATCCACTCAGGGAATGGCACTATTAGAAGGTGTGGCCCTGTTGGAGTAAGTGTGGCCTTGTTGGAGTAGGTGTGTCACTATAGGTGTGGGCTTTAAGACCCTCATCCTAGCTGCCTGGAAGTCAGTCTTCCACTAGCAGCCTTCAGATGAAGATGCAGAACTTTCAGCTCTGCCTGCACCATGCTTGCCTAGATACTTGCCATGCTCCCACCTTGATGATAATGGACTGAACCTCTGAACCTGTAAGCCAGCCCCAATTAAATGTTGTCCTTTATAAGACTTGCTTTGGCCATGGTGTCTCTTCACAACAGTAAAACCCTAAATAAGACACCCACAATGCATGCCTCCCCCAGGCAGTGAAGAACTCCAAATGCTAAAGAGGATGGACAATGGAGGTGGGTGATGTGGGTGGGAAGAGGAGGGGCCGCAGTGGAGTCAAATCCTATGGGGAGAAGAAAGGTGCTAGGATCCAATGAGGAGAGGACCTCACTCTAAAGTGATATAGGCTGGGTGTCCTCTAAGGTTTGTGGCTTCTCTTCTCTTCTTCTTCCCTATAATTTTTTCCCACTGCCAAGCGGGGCAGCCTTGCTTCTACGGTGCCCAGGGGCTCCCACTCAAAACCCTGCTGTACTGTCGTGGTGATTCCCCCAGCTCCCTAGGGGTTGTGCCCACTCAGTTCCTCTTTGAGAACCCCAGGTGCGTTCACGGTGGTGCTTCTGTCCAGATTCAATGAGTCCTTCCTGTGTCTCCCCCCATGAATGCATTGGGGTACTGGGTACATCAGTACTACAGGCAGGGGTTTGGGGACATATGGAGAACCATACATGTTTCTGGAAAACAGGTCAATGGATCTGGAAGGTGTTTTGAGATGTAGGATTGTAGTTTGCTAGGGACTTATGACAGAGGTCTGACTTGGGGACAGAAACAAGCCAGCAGCATCCCATACCCGAAAAGCAAGAAGGAAAGCTTTATAGACTAAGCTATACACAGGTAGCAAGCAGCCAACCAGAGTGCATCTGGCCTTTCTCGAAAACTATGAACATGTCAAAGTTAAGTCAAGGGACAATCTGGGTGTCAATGAAGTGACCAGAGTGGCCAGAACAAAATGCATGGCTATTTTGTTTTTTAGATAATATATAGCTCAGGCCAACCTAAAGTTCAAGATCCTGTCTGTCTTCCAAGTATGGGGATGACAGGTGTGTGCCATGTCTCTTAGCTTTGGAAAACTTATGGTTTTCTTAAGATTTATTATGAGGGCCGGA